GCGTCGCCTTTTAGCTAGAGGAGGGCGTAGACGATCTTATCCTTATCTTAGATAAACGAGGCTTTATTATTTAAGAAGGCTAACTTAAGGCGATAAAGGAAGAGTTTTACGTTATAGAGGTCCTTTCTATAGAAAGGCGGGATATCTAGTTATTTCCTCGACTTCGAGCCGCCTAAGTAGTAGGTATAGTACGCCTATTCCTCGCCCTCGGATAGGGTAATAGTCGAGTACGTAGGGCTCGTTTCTCTTAACCCTAGCATTCCGCTAGGAGTATTACCTATATAGAGGTCGTTAACCGTTAGCTACTATATAACGCGATTACGTTCTCGGAGCGCTAAGTACTCGGCTTATAGTCGTTCCCTCATAATTATACGTTAGAGGTCGTCCTCGTCGACGCTTACGTCGTCGTCTATAGCCTCTAGTATATCCCCTACGCTTATAGGTTCTTTAAGGCTAGGTATTACGAAGTCCAGATCGGTACGTCCGTAAAATAGGTCGCGAGACGCTATCGGTACGCCCGTAGGGAGCGATAGAGGATCTATAGGCTACTACCTAGGTAGAACGAATAGAATTATAAAGGTATAAAGGTATATAGTAACGTATAGATTACTCCTAGACAATAGGTCTATCTATAGCTAAAGCTATTCGTTGCTCTACGTAGGGTAGCTATAGAATTCTTCTTATATGCTACGCTAGCGTGTTATATAGGAAACGCTAGCTTAGTAAAAGAGAGAGAGAAGACTAGGGTAACCTATCCCGTTACAAAAACAAAATTCCTATACTACATGCATTTATTACTAATCGCGACTAGGCAACTTTAAACGCTCTTAATACAGTTTTTCCTAAGATTAAAACTCTCGTTTATAACTAGCACTATAATAAGGACGTTATAGCATACGCTCGTACTTATAGGTAGTCTTAAATCAAAAATCCTGTAACTAAGAAATTCGACGACTAACTCGAGATGTTATACTAGATTTCCGTTTATTACAAAGCAATGTAGGCTACTAGCGAAGAGATTTTCGAAGAGAAGTGCTTAGATCTTCGTTCTATATAGGAAAACGGAGCTAATTATCTTAATCGCGAGTAGTAGCCTTTTAAAGAGAAGTGTATTACGTTCTAGACGAATAAAATTCGTCATTTTAGAAACATAGCAACTTCTTAATATAAAGGCTTATATGCACGAGTTAAGAAATGGCTTACAAATGCCCGGTGTAATCTTTAGACATTTATCGACAAATTAATTCCTCTATAGAAGGAGTTATTCCGCTAGGCTAGCTAGGTTAAAGATAAGGATAAGATTAAAATTCTTTGTTTAACACGAAACGATCTCTACGCCTTCTGCTACCGAAAGATCTATAGATTTGCGTTAAAGAAGTGTCTTACCGAGCTTCGTGCGTCTAACCGTAAGATTAATCGTAATAAACGAAGAGTTAAAGATAGCGTTTTAAACAAAGAAGACGTCTAATATTCTGCTTACTAGGGGAATTTTCGTTTTGTATATAGTATACTATATTGATACGAGCTTTGTAAAAAGAGGTTATAAGGAATTTCATTATAGCCGAGAGATTTCGATAAACATTAGCATATTAATCGTAACGCGGCTAGCAATAAGCGGCCTCTACTAATCTATAACCTAACTGTTAAGCTAAATCCTCGTTTTAAACGAATAAAACAGTATAGGAAGAAGAATGGCCTTAGAAAGCATAGCAATCGTCGCGAACAACTAGCCGCTAATATAGCTAATAAGAATAATAGCAAAAAGACGCATAAAACGAAGAAAGATATTTCTTCGTCTTAAACAAATATATTAGACATCCCTCCTATAGAGACATTTACATAAGTCTAAATAGAGAGTATTGTTGCTGCATAGGTTAAAGCTGCACTATAGGCCCATTAACCCTCGTTTTAAACGAATAATTAACCTTAGACAATGCTACACTCGTAATAGTAGCTAGCGTACTAAAATCCTTCGTTTTAAACGAATAATTAACCTTAGGTAATGCTACACCCGTAACAACAGCTAGCATACTAGAACCCTTCGTTTTTAACGTAGAATTATAGTAGCTAGGTGCTATATCCCTAGTAGGAAATGCTACTACTAGGTCCTTCGTTTTCTACGCAAAATCATGGTAGCTAGATGCTATATTCTTAATAATAGATGCTACGCCTAACCCCTTCGTTTTCGACGCAAAATTAAGGCGGCTAGATGTCGTATCCTTTATAGCACCTAGTATAACAAGTTTCTTTGTCTTTAGCGCAAAACTATAATAGCTATATTCTATATCCTAAACGACAAATGCTACCCCTAGATTCTTCGTTTTTAACGTAAAATAGCTACCCTCGATATCTACCTCCTCTACGACATGCTACCCCTTATACGTAGGAATAGCGAGCACCCTATTTAGTCTAAGGTTTAGTAGCTCTACCGGATTATTCGTTATAAACGAATAATCTAGACCCTAACTTCTTTTACTAGTTAACACCGTTACGCTCCTATTACTACGTTAGACATATATCTTTCGACTCGAATTATTCGCATATAACGAGAAATTAATGGTATGTTTTAATAGCAAGTTTCAATTTAAGAGTATCTAAGTGCTATAGTAAGGTTTAAGTATAATCTATAGAAGCCTTTTTTTTATGTCAAAAAGGCGGTTTTTCGTTCGAAACGAGGGAGTTTAGTAGATTCCGTCGTAATTACGAGGGCCGTTAGCGTAAGCGTAGTCGTTATTACCGTAGATAGGGCGACTACGGATAGTAGCGACACCGAGCTCCTGCTAACGGCGGTCGATTAACTACATTATGTTAGTGTTTTTCGTTTTAAACGAGAGGAATTCGCTAACCTTATCTATAGAGAATGCGCTAAATCCGTGCTCCTAAAGGGCGAAGGTAGTAGCGCGGGCGTCGCGAGTAAAGTGCTATTTTCTTCGTTAATAATGAAGACTTAGGTTTTTCGTTTAGAATGAAAAAGCTCACTCTGTCATGACTGCTTTGGCAACTACTGATCCTCCACGGCAGGCTGCATGACCAATGTAATGTTCAGATGTACAAAGATGGTCATGTCCTGGACTACATGATAAACAGGTCCGAAACAAACTCATTCATGAAATCTCATCTTTCTGTAGGCAGCAACCGGTGTGACGGCATGCCTAGCTATAAAGTGCAGCTATCCGTATGCTTGGTCTCTCTTTCCTTGTGTCTCTCTTCCCTTTCACACATCTTTGTCTCCACACTTGGCATCATCAGGCAGCAAACTACCCTTACAACACTCCCAACTCCCAATTTCCACATATATAAGACTCATCAGAAGTCACAATTCCTCATATCACTTCTCCACTGAGAGATCAAAATCAACATGTCGGCCTTTGGCAACCACATCTGCGGATGCTACTACACCACATCTCCTTATGCTCTTCGTGTCTACCTTCCACAGGTCCAACTGGAGTCGCATACCACCATCACACCCCTCTACTTCACCACAAAGCTCTCGCAGACCTTCCAGAATACATCTGCCGAGATTCTGCCCGAGACTCGCTACTCCTTTCCTCTCTATGACGGTGTTGTTGTGACCGCTTTCACCTGCACCATCGGCGACAAAGTCATCAAAGGCCACGTGGAGCAAAAGGAGCAAGCCAGGAAGACATTTGACGCCGCCGTCAAGAAGGGTAAGAGTGCCGGTCTCCTAGAGTCGCTTCCGCTTGGAGTCTTTGGAGTCACTCTTGGTAACATCCCTATCAATGCGTCCATCCGCATCGACATTGTCTATGGAGGCGAGCTCAAGCACGATGCTCAGATTGATGGCTTGCGTTACAACCTGCCTACATCCATCGCTCCTCGCTACGGCAGCTACCCTGGACAACTTCTTGAAATGGACACTGCTGTTCTCAAGAGCATGAACATCACTGTTGACATCGACATGCAAGGCTCCACTATCCGCAAAGTCCAATGTCCTTCTGACCATCCCATCGCCCTGTCAATCGGAACTCTGTCTACAGCTCCCGAGCCTACTTCCGACATGTCAAAGGCCTCAGTGTCTCTGACTCACAACACCACAGAGCTCGGTTCAGACTTTGTTCTGCAGGTCTTGATCGATGATATCGGCTCCCCAAAGGCCATTATCGAAAAGCACGCTCTTCCCAACCGTCAAGCCCTGATGGTTACGTTTGTGCCACGCTTCAACCTCAAGCCCATCAGACCGGAGATCATCTTTATCGCCGATCAGAGTGGAAGTATGCAAGGCACCAAGAACACTGCACTTGTCGCTGCTCTCAAGACATTCCTCAAGTCCTTGCCCTCTGGAGTTCGCTTCAACATATGTGCCTTCGGATCCCGCCACAAGTTCCTTTGGGAGAAGAGTGTGCCTTACAACCAGGAAAACTTTACCCAAGCTCTCAACTTCGTCCAAGGCTTCACCGCTAACTATGGCGGTACGGAGCTGTTGCGTCCAGTCATGGCTGCCTTTGAGTCGCATCTTGTGGATATGCCTCTTGAGCTTGTCGTTCTTACTGACGGAGAGATAATTGCCGAGTCGCAACTTTTCGACTATGTCAACAGCCAGATCAACAACGAGAAAGTCGACGCTCGTTGTTTTGTGCTTGGCGTCGGTCGTGATGTTTCTCACACTCTTGTCGAAGGATTTGCTCGTGCTGGAAACGGAGTCGCCCAGTTCATCACTGACAACGAAGTCATGGACTCCAAGGTCGTCCGCATGCTCAAGGCTGCCCTCTATCCGCACGTCAAGGATTACCGTTTAGAAGTCGCTTATGATGAGGTCGACGACTTTGAGATGGTCGAGAGCGCGACGTCCACACAGACAGCCGCCAGTCCCACAGACCCGCAAGGTGTACCAATCTCGTTGTTCGACAAAGCTGCTGATCTCAGTGGTACACCCAATGAGGGCACCGATCGCTATGCTCACCTGCCCGTTGTTGCAGTACCCAAGCTTATCCAAGCACCTCATGTCATTCCTCCTCTGCTACCATTCAACCGTACTACCGTGTATCTGCTCCTTGGAGACTCAAGCCATACTCCAAAGTCTGTCACTTTGCACGGTTCATGCCCCGAAGGCCCTTTGAGATTGGATATCCATGTCAAGCGGATCGATGATCCCAATCATACTATCAACACACTCTCAGCCAAGCGAGCCGCGCAGGAGCTTGAGGAGGGCAGAGGCTGGCTGCTCGACGCAAGAGAAGGAACAGAGCCGATCAAAGACAAATACTCGTCTCGCTTTGACGAGTTGGTCGAGAGAGAAGTCGTTCGTCTTGGCACCGACTATCAAGTCGCCAACAAGTGGTGTTCCTTTGTCGCAGTCGAGCAGCGTGAGAAAGGCAAGATCGGCGACAACTCTTCCGTTGACTCTTCCTCGGCTACCTTGAGGGATGGGAGATCTGGATCTGATTCGTGTGAAGCGGAGCAGTCCGACGAAGACATGGGCACCAACATGTTTGACTCTGGTCCAAGCAGAAATGCGAAGAAACGACAGAAATTCTCGGCCCCTACCAGTTTCCGCCGATCAGCTATGCCACGCCTACGAGCTTCACCAGGTCAGTTTTCTGGTGTACTCATTCCTGACAACTATCAAACTGGAGGTGGTGGAGGCCGTGGTAGAGCAACTTTTGGAGTGACTGGTGGGGGCCGTGGTGGAGGCCGTGGTGGAGGCCTTGGATACTCGGCTAGGAGGTGCCGCCAAGCCGTACCGCAGTTGATGGATGAGGATTGCGAAACCTTCAGGGACCTGGGCGAGGATGACGGTGAGTGGGGCAGTGACGAGCCGGCAGAGCTTTCTGCCCCAGAAGGTCCTACCATTCCGACCAACAATGTCCTCGCTACTGTCCGCGCTCTCGTGGATCTCCAGTCCTTCGACGGCCATTGGGAATGGACCAACACGCTCTCCACCTTCTTTGACAGTCACGTCATCTCAGAGGCCAAGAGTGTCAGATCGGCAGAAGACCAGTTGCTGGCCACGGTAATGGTTCTGGCCTGGCTGAAGACTTCAGCATCCGAGTACCACGATCTTTGGGAAATGATTGCCGAGAAGGCTTCGGATTGGCTTGAGGGTCAGAGCGAGGACTCTGAGCTGCTCATGAGCAAGGCAATGAGCGCTTTCACTGGCGGAGTTTGAATCTGGCAAATGACTTTGTTTCTCTACAGTTGGAGATAGGGCACGGACTGCCAAAGAGAGGCTTGTGGTAACGATACAAAAGAAATAGCTATATTCCATATGGTGGTATTGATATGAAATGAGCCTAGGAAATCATTATACATCATTATCACTGCCTTTCTGGGTGTGCTAGGTACGATTAATAAACTTCTAGATCATTGAGCTTGGTTCAAAGAAACGACGTTCATAGACTTCTCCCTTGGACAATGTGCTTCTGATTCGAAAGGGATGTGCATCTTGATGGGTATATCACTGCGTAGTGCTGTATCGGACGAGTGGATGTGGCAAATCTCAGGCAGAGGGCGGGGAGTTGTCGAGTTATCTTTGAAATTATCTCAGACAGACACTTTGCTATCTGAGGCTTGCCGCCGGCCATTGAGTTACATGATTGCTTACGCTCACGGTGACTCAAGTATGTGAAAGATCTTTGATATTGTTCCAGGGCCCTCCCTTTATTGTGACTAGTAGCCTCGACGCTGGTTCTCCCCTCAGCCACATAATGATTGATGAATAAAAACGCAATTGACTCCCCATCATCATCTGTGATGTAGTCGCCGGTATCGATGTTAAAGTAACGCATGACTGCACCGAGAATACTGGCCACACCACCACACAGGGCCGAGATAGACCCACTAACGAAAGGGTTCTTCTCCGGTTATGTTAAAGTCGGATCAGAGAAAGCGAAAGATAGTCACTGCTTTAAAATTAGCTACTGTGCTTTTGGACTTGTAACAATGTTCGACTGTGAGAGGAGTATGAACATACTCTTGTGTGAGGCAAAGACAGTCAGCCAGGTTGACAGCAGTCGGTTCAAAAGCGGCCGGTACAGGCTGCTGCACCTTCGAGCTTGTTGGCGTAGTCGAAGTTCGCATTCACTGCTGATTCGAAAGTCCAGCATTATTTCTGTCAAATATCGACATGCCTTTGATGCCTTGGGTAGAAACGTGATCGGTGGTACAGGTTGTCATCGAGATAGTAGCGAATGGGCAAAAGCTGTCTAGGAAAGTGCTCATTTGTCGTATGACGAAGTCCCGCGTGCACCAGCACCCATTGAGCAGGATCACGCAGGAACACTGCTATAAACATACATGGGATAGGGGTCAGACCAAGCGTCCGCTCGGTGAGAGTAGTCGCGAAGCTCAGTTGTATCCGGACATCGACACCGTAGGGGCTCGTGCGGTGGAAGGAGAGTTCCATATCACGGAAGGCTCTGATAATGTCACTGTCGGGACCATCATCGTACTCGACGACTTGAGTCTCGGAGCTGAAGTGTAGGCCAAGAGAAAGGTCCAGGGGTGTCTCGTCGTAGGTCGGATGACCCACAGTGGCGATAGAATGACCATGTCCGACTTGGACCCTCGGCTAGATTCAAGTGTTAGTGAAGCGCATAGAGCAAGCGTATGACTTGCTTACTCGAGCTGCGACCAATTCTACCTCCCGCCTCTGCTCTTCCTCCCGAATGCTGGTGGATTCCATGTTGGCGATGAATGAGATAACAAGTATAGATAGAACGGGATTATTGATGTGTAATGATGCTTTGAAGACGGAGGATGAACATCATTCCTGGTTCATGGCAAGAGCCAAGCAATTCACGGCATAGATTCGTGGCCGAGCAACGCTAGCAAGCAGTCACAAGAAGGGAAGTAGCTACCCCTATCAGTCAGCAGTGGTCTACTGGCTGCAAACAGCTTTGTATGAATGCAAATTCCAAATTATCTGAGCATTTTTGTTGTTGTCCATTCTATGCTTCAAAGATGCGGATATCATGGAGGGTTGTCGTGACCCATATCGACCTCATGTCTTTCAGTCGACTCGGAGTCACTCTTTCCGTGTCAAGATCACAATATCTCTGACAAGATGTCTCCACTGATCCCGATTAGCCTTACTCGTGACTTCCGAAGCTTCTTTCTCATCAGCTCCACAAGACTGACCATTTATTGCCCGGGGTTGACGACGAAGGCTCATCAGAAATCTTTCTCCCTTCCAATGCAAGAAACTCGTGCACGACTTCGTAGTATCTGAAAGGTGGCATGTCACGAGCACGGCAAAGCAGTGTTTGTCGGACAGAGCACTTCCCCGATTTATGAATGTGGCACGTGAAAGCACGTAAGGATACCTTTGAAGCCTACTATATTAGACCTTGCACCAGTCCGCACAATCTCATCCAACGGTCCTCGGCGACGTCCTCATGGCGAGCAAGGCTGGCCCATCAGAAGAGCCTCTCCCGCCTGTGTTTGGCAAAGAACTCAAGAGCACTTGACCGCACGATAGACTCGAGCATCCGGTCGATGAATGGTCCTTAGAGATGTTACTTTCCGTCGATCCGGTCGAGCAGACTGAGCCTTCAATGCTCGTAAGCACGAGGGTCGGAATGCGAGTGCCGTGATACGGAGATGAGAGACCACTCCGAAGGCCCGAGGCCATCGTCGTAAGGAGATAAGAGAACGCACATCGATTCTTGAGGACGTCCAGTCTCCTAATACGCTCGAGCATCCGGTCAATGAACCAAATTTAGAGATTTGACCGCTCGTCCATCCCGTCGAGTCGACTAGGCGTTATATGCTCATAAACACGAGGCTCGGGATGCGAATGCCGTGATGGGAGAACAATTTGGAGACCCGAGATCATCGCTAGTCCAAGAACACGAAGATTCGCTCGGGTCAACGAACGGTCTGTAGATATGCGACTGCTCGTCAATCCTAGCGAGCATGTTGGCCGTTGTATGCTCGTAGGCACGAGTGTCGGAGTAGAGGTGCCGTAATACGGAGAAGGGAGAGCGGGTTGGGGACCAGAGGTTGGCCGTTCAAGAACAGGTAGAAACGCTCAGGTCGAGCTACACCGTCAATTGTGAAGATGGAGTGTTCAGAAAGCGAGTTGCTGGTGCATAGCACAGATAGGCCTGAGCTCATATGACGGCTGTGAGATTTGTGCTTTCGAAAAGCAGGTAAACGCAAAAGTGGCCACGATCAAAAGCATCTGTAGAGGTTTGTGAGAATATGAGAATACCTAGAAAAAAACCGAGGAGAATGTGCATGACATTTACTATGTTCCCTGAGCTTGTAGGGCATACAATGGCCTAGGGTTGCCTTGAGCATCACAGCTCGCAAACTTCCACCAGGCCCAATTCCAACTGCCGAACATGTTGACCATCATCCAGCGAACAGGGCCGGGCATGGGTGGCCAAGCGGCCCACATGCCTTCTTCGAAAGTTCTGTCCAGGTTGAGCAGGGCGAATGGAACGACGTCGGTCATGCCGGCTTTGGTGAGAGTCTTCTTGCCCCATGCTTTGAAAATGACAGCGGCGGCCTCGGCCTCGGGCGAGTCTACGAGTGGAGCGCTAGAGAGGATAGCGAAGGAAGCGATAGTGGAGATCTCGTGATGGAAGTGGTGGGCAAAAGGTTTGCGGAAAGTGTCCATGATGGTGACAAGCTTGGTGCCGTCAAAGGTCGAGGCGGTCGGCAAGGTCGACAGATACGAGTGGAAATCGCCGAGACCTACTAGGAATGACTCTGTCGGCCAACTGTTAGTATTGAATATGTGTGTCCAAGGTCAAGATGTAGCCTGTGTACCATGCTCTTGATGTGTCTCGTCCCAGATGCCTTTCTCTTTCAGGACTTGATCGACCTTCGGAAACAGCTCTGCTTCCTCATCATCGTGATGACTTTTGACAAATCGATACCAAGCAAGGCTGTATCCGACAAAGTCAGAATATTCCTCAGGCTTGACGTGGGGTGCTTGAAGGTAGATGGTGTTGAAGCCTCGGAGGATGGCATTGTGTAGTAGAGCCATATGCGTCGCGCCTTTGGTCCAGATGTCCTCTTTCTTGGTCAAGAACTGCGGTGTGTGTACAAGTTCACAAGGGCCATCAGCCCAACTCTGTCTCTCGCGCACAGCACTCGTCATGTTGGAAGACTTGTTGGCGAACAGTAAACCGATTGCGACAGCTACGATGGTGAGGGCGAACAAACGAGGCATCAAGCCGACCTAGCTGGAGAGAGGCAGAGCTCTATGGCCTCTGCTGGGATATATATCACGCATCCGCACATGATGTGCAACTTGTCAGGCCATATCACGTTGCGGTGCTTGTCAGGTCACCTTGATGATTGATCATCGACATGTCGAAGCCTCTTGGTGTGGCTGATCATCGGCAATCGTCTGATTGGTCAACGCTTTCCGACGACATCACCTCCTTCCTCTCATAGTCCACCAAGATAGAAGTCGCATCGCAAACATCGACTGCATGAGTCCGTTCCATGTAGAGTGTCCTCGATTACGAGTGTCGCTGGTAACGAATCCCCCAAGTCCGCAAGTCCGCTGTCGACACTAGCACTTCATTCTTCGACATGATGTCGCCAAGTAGGTAGCTTTCTGTCTATGTCGTTCCTCGTAAAAATAAAAAAAAGCTCCTTCCAATGGTTCCCAACGCACCATGGTGACTATCGTGTAACCGAGAGAGATAATTCATGGTCCACTTTGCCCAAGGTTTGCCATGAAAGCTTTCTTCGCCTTTCTCGTCAAAGTATAGATCACATTACTACAGATCACAGATGCAAACGTTTGTGTCTCCTCGTTGACGTTTGCTCTAAGATTCCGCGGAGTTTTGTTCACTCATCCCAATTCTCCAGTCTTCCGATCCTGCACACAAAACACTTCGCTACTCACGTCCGCGTTTAACGTGGGTGTCACCTCTACATCTGCCTGAACCTACTCTGATCAATCAACCATGGCCTTCATCAAGCTACACGACCAAGACCCCGAGTACTATTGGTTTCAATACGTGGGTGCGGTCGCTCACTCCGTCTTTGACGAGATTCACGTCAACATAGCCATGTCCAAAGCATACACTCTTCTTGAACCGGGTAGCAGAAAGCTACCGGCCAAGGAGAGAATATTCTTGACTATCTGGTTGGCTTACTTGACGCCGGTTTGGCAAGAAGCTGAGGTATTTCTGGAATCCACATGGTCGTATTATCGCTAATACGTTTCCAGACGCTCAAATACACAGCATGTCAAGATTACTTGATTTATCTATGTCGTGGTCAACAACCCCTCATCGACGTCGAATGTTGGATCGATTGTCTAGGTATGAAGACAGCACTGAACACTCCTGTCGATGGACTCTCGCACTTGCTTGACCAGCTACGTCTTGTGGAAGAGCCATTCGGAGAGTATTTCCGAGAGAACAGATTCGAGCAGATCATCATGGATCCAATGGTGCTATTGGAACACAATGCTTTCATGAGCTTCATGGTTACTGGGAAGAAGCCGAGCAATCTGCTACGTTTTAAGTCTCAACCCCCAACTGAGATCGGTCCATCTCTAAAGGTAAGAAGATACCACCGAAGATCGAACATTGTGTTGACCATCCTTCTAGCCCGGAGAAAAGTCTGTCATCGAGCTCGAGACAGTGCGCTACTTTCAAAAGCTGAACCAAGACTGTGCAACACTGGAAACTGTCCTGGGCGTCTTCGGTGAGAGAATCAAGAGAAGAAGACAAGACATCGAACGGTACCACGAGCAGATCCGTGTCGTCGTCGAGGGAGCGAGCTACAAGCATAATGACTTGTTGATGGCATTGAAAGTCCTCGAAGCTGCAGAAGCCGGAGAAGAGGCCGACGTGGCTGCATGGCGTGGCCTTGATGACACGAGACAGACGATGCTCATCACGACAGGACGGTTGCAATGCATGCTAGACATCAAGAAAAAAAGCAACCACAACAAAAACAAGAACAGATCTCTGAAGAAGAAGCTACAGCAAGGCGGCCAGCAAGACGGTCAGCAAGACGGTCAGCAAGAAGACCAACAAGACAACCAACAAGACGATCATGCCGAGAACATGGGTGGAGAGGCCGAGTTGATTGTGGTTGCAGACACTGTTGTCAAGGCGGAGGAGAAGGGCGAAGCTTTCGTGCAACCATGGTGCGTCGGCAATGTGCTTCAGAAGATGGATTAAGTCCTCTCTTCTATCGACTTTGAATTCTCCATGGATGGCGCATGGGAGATTGAGAGAGCTCGGGCAAACGGACGAAGAGCATGGTAGGAAATTACGCCGATTCCGGCGGTCGCTTCACATGATGGTGCTTTCAGCCTGCAGCGACGGTGAGGAAGGGACACGACAATCTCGAGCGACCGACACCTTCCTAAAAGATTTCCCTATTCTGCGAATGAACTACTAGCTGATTAGCTGATACTGCTTTCTTGAGCTAAATTTCCAAATACAAAGCTGGTTTCCTCGAGTGTTGCAGAGGCCGCTATGTGCCAGTCCGGTTCTTCTCAACTTTTGGAGATGCTGGAGTGTTGTAGCTGTTTCTCGTAATATCCTTTGTGAAAGTCGGGTGTTTTCCCCGGCGTTTGCTCGTTGTGTTGTCGTTTGCATACCCCGCCGTCACTCACGTTTCCATCTTTCTACCACAAAACTCCATCGCGCCTTCCAAAACTATCACAGGACTCATTACTCTCACCAAAATCTGTCCAACATGGTGCCTCGTCCAGGCAGAAACTTTCCCGGAGTTCGTCATCACTCTTCGAGTGCAACCTCAACGCACTCATGGATGCTGACAATTTCAGATGCAGGGAATGAACGCCAACCAACTTTTTGACATGCTCCAAGCCGGTTATGTCATCCCTATCTACGAGCGCGAAGATTCCGAGCCCGAACAGCAAGAACCGCGCATCGTGGAACTTGACGACGACTACGACAGTGAGAAAGAAAGAGAAAAGAAGAAGGCCAAGAACAAGAAGAAATACTTGCGTCAGAAGGAGAAGGCTCAGGCCGAGAAGACCGAACTTCAGCCTCAGCAGTCTGGTCGCAACGATTCTGTCGCCGAAAGTCTCGACCACATGTCTATCCAAGATTCCACCACTACCAACTCTACCCATGCGAAAGGCAGCAAAACTTCCACTGAGCCTCAACCCAAGCTCTCGAAACGTCAGAAGAAGACTCTGCTCAAGAAGGCCAAGCAAGCTCAATCCACACCTCCCACCTCGGAATCTGCTTCCACTTCCATCAATGGCGATGCTACATCCGACCCTCGCGAGAGCACCAACAAGGCTGCTGACGCAAGCTCCGAAGGTTCCAAGCAGGACCAGAACAAGAATGGAGACAAGAGCAACAGCGTTGGTCACGAGAAGCACGAAGATGGTAATGACAAGGGTGAGGAGAAGGAAGTTGCCACTGAAGTCGAGGTGGAGGCTGTCATGGCTACTGTCGCAAAGCGTTTCGGTCAATGAGCATGGGTCAAGACATCTGTATCACAGGAAGACTGTCAAGGGAATGGATGGAAAAATATAGCCATGCTGAATAAGCATGAGTCGGACAGTCTGGTATGTTGCTCTTCAATGTTGTCATGCAGAAAGTTCAAATGCAATGAATCGTCATCTTGTGTCTCTGATACCCTATACACCCCGCGTTCCTTGCATCATCGAGTGTTGCATCTATTCCTTAGACCATTGGTAAAAGTTCATTTGACTCGGTGCACGATTCCTGAGACAGAACCCCTGTGGTGAGGAAGAAAGCTCCGGAACGACGGATTTCTTTGGGTGCCTGTGCTGTGATTGATGTCGAGCGTCAAGTACTACCTCCTCGAAAAGCCATGAATGTACGCAGCTTCCTCCAAGCGGCCACTGTCTCTCAACTATGGTCGCAATGCATGATTTCAGCTGTTCTGGGCCGCTGCGTCAGTCGGAGTACGGAACAGATTATACCGTCACTGGTCGTACAGGGGGTATCGAGGCAGTCATGGGGTTATGTACAGAGCTCTGAGTTCTCAATCATCTCGGTTCTGGGCGCCAATTTTCATTGGCTCGTTCTTGCCTTACTTCACAGGCGCTACAAACCAACTTGATCACCCCCATCGTCTTTTTTAGTCTATGCGATGTAGTATACACTGAGCCAGGAAAGACGAGTATCGTAAACAATTAATCTCTATTACGTGCCTTAAAAGCAACCAAAACAACCAAGACTCCCTTCTATATCAATCTCGTAACATCATTGAGTATCTTCGAGCAATCATCTCCGTCCTTCATATTCTCCTCATCCACCAGCAGTCATTTCCAAGTTGAGCTTCTCCCTCTTCATGAGCACACCACTCACCAGAGCAACTGCACCGGCGGCAATAGTGAGGACCCAGATGTCTCTGAGAGTAGCAGCGATGGCTTCCAACACCAAGCCTTGGAGGGCTCTGTCACCACTTGCCAGGATGGCAGAGTGAGCACCACCCAGAGCAGCTCTGATCTCGGTGTCGGAGAAGTTGTATGCCGATACGGCATTCTTGATGTTGTCGAAACCAATATTCTGGTACAAGCACCCTGCGATGGACAGACCGATAGAGAGAGATCCAATCTGAGCCACGTTGATGAATCCAACAGCATTGAGTGTGTCAATCTGGTCGACCACAGCGACGGCAACAGAATATGCTACTTGCATACTCATGCCTGCTCCAAAGGCCATCAAGACTTCGTAGCCGTATATCTTGGTCGTAGATGTATCCACGTGGACGGTGTGCATCAAAGCACCACCAGCTACTAGCAAAACGCCGGTCACGATGTAGAAGGGTTGGTAGCGACCAAAGGCGGGGAGTAAGCCACCGCTCAACATGACCGAGGCGACAAAGACGCAGATGTAGGGAAGTAGTCTGACGGCAGCCTTGATGGGTGAATCGCCCTTGGTGAACTGGAAGAAGATGGGGATGTAGTAGACACCAAGAGCGAGTCCAGTCGACGATGCTGCAGTTCCGGTATAGAGCAGAATCAGTGTTCGGCTTTTGAGGAAGTGGACAGGGAACAGGCGACGCGATGGCGTAGTAGCGATGCTCAAGCCCTGTTGGACGACGAAGGCGAGCAGAAAGACGGCGAAGACAACCCAAAGTGCGATTGGACCGGCCTCACTCCACTTCCACAGAGAGCCGCTAAATGTCAGAGCAACTTGCAGAATGGCAAATATGCCAGCGAAGAGGAAGGCACCCAGCCAGTCGATCGTAGCAAGCTTCTCCATAGCACTCATCTTGGGCTTCGGGTTGTGAGAGGGGAAGAGAAAGAGGTAGACCGGCGAACTGACTGCGGCCAGAGGCAGATTGATGTAGAAAGCCCATCTCCAGGTCGCAGAGCTTACTGCAAAGCCTCCACCGACGACAGGGCCAAGGATACTGCCTGCGCCCCAACACAGGCCAATCAAGGCGTTGTAGATGGGTTGTTCTTTCTTGCTGGTGAAGGTCGTGATGTAGGTCAAAGCACTGTAGAAACAAGTTTGTTAACACCAGATCAATCTCCAGATACACATACAGACAACGGAAGGTGTTACTTACCCCAGGTACATTCCAGCTCCACCCATGCCAGCAATGACACGTCCAACGATCAAAGCATTCATGTCAGGGGCAGCGCCGCAGAGTGCACTTCCGGCTTCGAACAACACGAGACTACCGATGAACATCCATTTGACGTCAAAAAGAGCATACAAAGCTCCAACAAGAAGAACGATCGACACCGAGCCCATGGGGAAGCCGATGCCCACCCATGAGAGCTTTTCAATGTCGCCAAATGCTTCAAGGATAGGGCCTTGGACGTCTGCTGCGATGGTGGTATCAAGGCCTTTGGGAATGAAATCAGCAAGCGTACGAAAGGCATCGACAGATATTATGTGCTCATACCATAGAGAAGAGCAGCTGTGTAAATGCCAACACAGACTAGATACCACTTCCAGTTTGGCATTCCCCTGTCAAAGCCAGCTTCCTCCTGATCTGGAGTGCTGGCACGTTGATCCTCGAGATCATTGTCGTAAGACTCGGGTTTGCTGTCGGATATCAGAGACATCTTGGATGGTTGATAACAAGTTGTACTATCGAACTGCGCTGAATTGGTTTGTATTTTCTAGGTGTCAAGAATCATCATAACTTATGTACCAGTTCCCTCCTGGTCACCAGCAATAGAGGATTGATAATCACAGTGTTTGATTCATCCGATGGATGTTGGATCCAAGGGGTATAATGGTGCAAGATAGCATAGTCGGCCTCATGTTTGCTGCTGTGGACGTGATAGAGTTTCCCCGGGGCAATCGTTCGTCCGAGTTGAGAACATTTCGCTCCAGGTGTATGGAGAAAGGATCTTATCGTTGGCAGTTCTGTAGTTGAATCATCAAGAAGTCGCAAGGATTACCCAGTAGGCGATGATAAGTCAACGTTTGGCTTGTGGTGGTCCGTGCGACAATTGAGGAAGGTCTGCGACGTTCAAAAAACGGGATGGTTCGGTCTGCAAAGCATGATGAGTCAACAACGAAAAGAGAGTTCATCCTCCAATGTTCACACGGAGCATCTTTCCTCGAGCATGGAATGGTCTGCACAGGGGAGCATTTTCAAGGTGAAAGTCGCGCTCCTAACCGTGAAATTTCACAGCCGTCATGCCATCGCGCCGTAGTTGACAGCTTGCGTTAAGACTCGCGGATGTATTGCCTATACGTAGCAGGTGTCGCGAAGTACAAACACGCGCTGAGGTTTGTAAACAGTCGAAGTTGAAGCATGAAAGGAAAAGAGAGAAGCGGGGGCACGTTTGGCCGATCGGTCACGAGTCCTCCCGTCAGCGCCAGCGGCCAGGCAAAAACGCTAATGAAACCTCCTTCGCTGCTTCCTTTGCCCAAACATCGGACAGCAGATCAGCCCAGATTACAATTACCAATTGCACCGATAAACGAGACGGTGCAAGCTTTGCAAGACACTGCCATGCTAATACGGCTTTTCACGCTTCCGCCGCTTTGACGGTTGGCTCTCTCTCTTTTTGACTGTGATATAAAGCTCAACCCTCTTACTGACATCCTAAATCGCAAACATCAACTTCCGGTACCAACTGACAGTCTAACACTCCAATTAAAACATAAACTCTCCGACAAACCTGACAATCGCTCGCGACAAGCCTTTTCTACACGCATCCTCAGCAACTGCCTAGCATAAAATCGACTCCCGACTAGACACTATAGCGAACGGCTTCGGCTCAGTCAACCTTTATCTCGATCAAGGAATCACATCGCATACTTTCCGACATGCCTTTCAACCCGACAAAGGACATCCCGGACTTGTCTGGCAAGGTCATCATTGTGACTGGTGGCAGCAGTGGTCTCGGTAAGGAGAGTGTACACCAACTCGTCAAGCACAATCCTGAGAAGATCTACCTCGCTGCCAGAACAAGCCAGCGAGGTAATGCCGCCATCAACGATATCGAGAAAGCCACCCCGTCCGCCAAAGGAAAGATTCATTACCTAGAGATCGACATGGCTTCCTTCGCATCGGTCAAGAAGGCTGCCGACCGTATCCTGGCAGAGAACAACCGTCTGGACATTCTCATGAACAACGCCGGCGCTACCGGCGGTGCCCCGGGCCTGACTACCGAAGGCTATGAAGATCAATTCGGCAGCAATTACATGGGTCCTACTCTCTTCACCAAGCTCCTTTCTCCTCTATTGCGCAAGACGGCAGAAGAACCCAACAGCGATGTTCGCATCATCAACCTCAGCTCCGAACTCTTCAAACAAGGCCCTAAGGATGGAATCTTGTTTGCCAAGCTGAAGAGTCCCATGGCTGATATGGGTTCCATTCCCCGGTATGGACAGTCCAAGCTTGCAAACTACTATTTCAGCAAGGTTGCCGCTGAAAAATATCCCACCATCAAGTCCGTAGCTCTCCACCCTGGTGTCGTCAACACTGGTATCTGGGATGAATTCAAGAAGAGAAGACCATACCTGGGCATGGTGTTTGGTGCTCTCTCTGGTCTTTTCCTTACCGACGTTCATGAAGGCGCAAAGAGACAGTTGTGGGCGGCCACTGCCAAAAAACAAGATGTCAAGACTGGTGCCTTCTATACACCGAAAGGTACTGAGTATCCTCAAGCGATACTCAAGAACGACAAACTTGCACACGAGCTGTGGGACTGGACCGAGAAAGAGTTTGCAAAGCACGGCTTCTGATTGAGTTTTCTAATTTGCATGGGAGTCGGGTTGGGTGTTTTACACCGTTGCTTTATCATATACTTGTCTTACTAATGAATTATTCTTACCTTTCCGTCCGTCGCTTCCAGTCAGACTCGTTCGGATGATCCAAGACGTTCTTCAAATCTGTCGTTCTTGTTTCACCGATTGAGCAAGACAGATTCTTACGGTGCTAGAAGCTTCTGTTCCATCCAACAAGCGACCTTGCGCGTTGCAGTTGCTTTCTGGATCTTCGCCTTTCACACTGGTATCTGCGCTTCGCCCTCTTCCCGACAACCACGTTTGCTGGGCGACACAATCCACTGATTCGAATCTCCTGCACGTGTGCATGAGCCCGCAGATGAGATTGGCCACATGATCCACGTCTATGTTACTGTACATTCACAATCATAAGCTATCTCCTCACAGTCAGTCATTCACTCTGACCTCGCTTCCTCACATGCCAAAAATTCACTCCTCTATCTACAAAACCACCTCTTCCCATCCTAGCACCGTCTCTTTCTCTTCCATCAACATCTCAAACACTAAGGCCTTCGGTGTCGACACTAACGTGCGCACAACTATCACGACCTGCGTGTGCTGCTTCTCCCGGAACAGAACAACTCGAGCCGAACCGGGTACCGGACGCTCTCTAGCGTAGCTCCTCGCTTCGTGTATTCGGTAAGTCTGAAATAAGAGTAACGGAAATAATGCACGAGTGTACTTGATTGAAGATGAAGATGGTAGGGGACGGAGTAGTCGGCATTGTACCCGGTGTAGACAATACGGAAATGCTAGTATCTCGTTTCTCCAATCGATGGAGTATCGTTCATGTAGTAACGCAATGGAACAGAACAGCGCGAGCCAAATCGGGTACCGGACGCGCTCAATCGAGCTTAGCATGAGTGGCGGCTTACAAGTTCCTACATAAAAAGCTCATGGATAAGTATTGTTCGCTTTGCTTACTTGAGTTACTAAAATTGATATTTGCGTCACTGTGTTCTTTATTAGGTTCGCACAGAGAATACCTTAAATCCGCTTCCTTACTCTTTGAACCGAATGACATGTATTGACGGCGAAGAAAGAACTACCCTAAGACTTCTACCAAAAGCCGGGAATGATCTCCGAGGTTCTGGTCTGGACTTTCTACTTCTATATGTGAATGTTTACGTCCCACATTCAGCATCGTCACTTCCTTCTCCTGTCATCAATCTCTCGACCTATTCAATCAACGACTTTACCAGTCAAAGTCTCTCCATATCCACCTTTCTACCCTTCACACGAAAAGTTCGTAGTCATGTCGGAGACGGTTGGGGCGTTACACCGAGACGATGGTTCGCAGACTTCGCCTGACAATACATCGTCAATATCCGACGACACAAGCACAGAACGAGTGGCATATACACCGTCCCATTCTCCCGCACCACCTGAGTCCCTATTCCCCTCTTGGCTCAACCCGGCCTACATCGGACACCTGCGAGATGCCAGAGAACGTAAACTTGAGGATCTGATTAAAGAGCTGGTCGAATCCAGAAGTCGGATGAGAGCGCTGCTCTACCGTGCAAAAGAGCCTGCAGACCCTTCCCTATTGACATCGGAATGGACCTGGGAGGACGAAGTGCGAGAATTACAAGAGCAAATGAGTGGTCTGAGAAACTTTATTTTTGAATTACATACAGCGATCGAGCTTTCTCGTCAGCACTCTGATGCCACAGAAGCACCTCACGATGCTGCTACAGTCCAAGGCAAATCACCAAAGCAAAACCCCAGCGCTAGAGGGCCTCCTTCCCAAAGCGTCAAGTCCCATACCGAGCTTCCCAAGGACGACGGCAATCTCACCCAACGGGAGCTCAGTCTGCAATCTCAATGTGACACTCAGCAACTACAACTTTTCCAACTCGCCCAAGCTCTGGCCACAGAGAAAAGCGAGACCGCGGAACTCCAAAACCAGCTCCAGGAAGAGAAAGAGGAAAACCGAGCATTACTTCAGCAATATGGACGTGTTCAATGGGAAAGGGTCAAGGCCGAACGTCAAGCTCAGCACGTCAAGGAAAGATTCAAGTCGCTCACCCGAACTGCCAAATCTCACATGTATCACAATGAACACGAATTGACAAGACTGAGGGGACAACTATCCGAATTACGGACGTCCCAAGCCTCACAATCATCAATAGAAGACATGAACGCCTCAACTCCTTCTGAACAACCGCAATTGCACAGCACCTCAGCTCTCTCTCAAGAGCCCGAACCGCACAGCTATATCGCGGATCACATGGCAGAAATAGCTTATGAAGAAGGCCGTTGGGCATTCGAAGAAGACAGCAGTACGGATGGTGAGGCTGATGATCAATACGAGATTGATTATGAAGAGCAGATGGAGAATAAATGCAGATCTCTCAAGTCCAAAATCAAGCGTCTCAAGCAAATGCTGCTGATTGAGAAGAAGAGGACCAAAGACGCAAAGAGCTTGCTTGAGATGGCCGTCAAGAATGGTCAATATTGGCATAGGCGTTTCGAGCAGAAATGCCTTTGCGAGGATGAGATCGGTGGTAATTGATGTCCGAGGCGGTAGATTACAAGTTCTCAATACGAAGCGTTTGATAGTGATCGATTAGCAAATGAATTTGACAGCCTAGCACTCACTGCACAGGAAGCTTGGTTACATATCATACTCTATCTCGATTCAGGTTCCTTCTATTCAGTCGTGAAACCACTGTCTGTCTTAGACTAAAATAAATTCACGACAGGAAAGTCATATTTTGATCGGGCTTGGAACTTGGAACTTGGAACTTGGAACTTGGAAGACGAAACAATTGTTGAAGCGAGGAAAGCAAACACACGCTGTCATACGAGCAAAAAAACCGAGCAAAAAGATTGGAAGACGACGATTTCAAAGAACATGAGAGAAACAGTCAGACATCTTCGTACGTGAGCAACTCCATCCTTCAACTCTTTTTCAGAGCCTCCTCTGTTAGCTCTCCCCTTTCCGCTGTCTCGATTCACGACTCCGCAGCAAGAATCTCCCGAGGGTGCACTGAAGTACATCCACGAGCATTGAGATCTCCTTCAGGATGCATGTGATACATGCACAGGTTGAAAGGCGGGCATTGGTCCTTGAGGAATGCAGCCTGGCTGTGGCGCTCAAACAAGGCAGTTGACAGATCCGAAAGGAAAGCAGCGGGTTTGCAATCTGTTGTGGTGGGGTAGACCACCCAGTCTTTGTGTCCGTGCCAGACGTAGAGATCGACTAGCAAGCGTCTTAGAGGGGCATCCTGGAGCGTGTTGTCATAGACTACTTGGGGTAAGGTGAGGTCCAGACGGCCCTCCTCGGCAATTTTGGCAATCAAACAGTCAACCACGGCATTCTTGAACCGATGGTCCAAGAATTTGTCTCCCAAGATCCAGGCGCGGACCAAACCCAGGAACTCGGTGTCTTGGAAATCATGAGGCTGCGTCTTGCGCCAGATACGGCCAGCATAGACCCATTCGACGTAGATTGCAAAGGTTGAAGGATCATCTTCGAGCGACATGAATGTTTGGCCATCTTGTATGATCCACCACTCTTTCTTCGAGGCGGCTTGGAAGTAGGGACTGCAGTGCGCGAGAACGTTGATGTGAACGTGGAATTCTGTGTGAGCTTCTGAACTTCCGACGAGAATGGTAGCGAGAGGGCCAGACGGCCTAGTTATAAATCAGTGCAGTCCTCAACAACCAACAGCTTAAGCTTACGAAATGAAGTCTAAAACACGTTGGTTTGTTTTCTGCTGGGGGGCAACCCGGACACCTGTTTGTAGGACCTCGAGCGATTTCTGAGAGAACATGCCGAAGTGGTGTAGAATGCTGGGTACCGGTTTCTCTGTATCATGAAGGCGCTGCTCTTCGAAAGAGACATTGTGATAGCCAGGAAGGATGGAGAAGGACTGATATCTGTTGGGGGCTTCGTTTTCCAACAGGCCGGGCAACGCGAAGGCTGGTCTGTACTTCAAGATAACGGGACCGTCTTGCGCTGAAGACATTCTGAGATTGGGCGCGCTTATAATGAAGAAGATAGGTGAGAATTCTCCAGGTGCTGTTTTGTGAAGAAGAGAGGATTCTAGTGGGACAAGGCGTTGAAAGGAGGAACGAGGCACCAATATTTATCCACTTTGGGCTGCTCCTATGCCGTTACTGCCGTGATAGATTTTGTCTCCATCAAGTGGTGCAGAGTGAAAAAGCAACCACTGAGGAAGTCGTGATTCAGTTCTCGTCACTTCACTAATCAAGCGCCAACACGCAGACTACTTGCTTCCTGGCCATTGTTTCCTCTTCGGGCGGTAAACAGCCCTTTCTTCGTCTTGACTTCTTCGGCATCTTCAAAGACCGAAACGCCTGATTCTCTTGTCGGCACACAGAGTCAGGGAGCTCTTGCTAGTTGACCGTGAAGCAGATGTTTATTGACTTCACCTTGGTCCGGACGTTGAGCAATCTTGCGACTCGGACCCAAATCTGCTCGCACTCCATTGTCCAGAGGCACTAAAATCTCCGAGTACCGCTGTCTTTTTCAAGGTCCAGCTGAAGTCGTAGCTGATCGATCGTATGCACTTGGTTCCTCATCCCGATATCTAATCATGCCCTCCTTCTCTTCATCTGCGATGCTGTATGGCAGCACAGATGAGAGTTCATCATGGCCGCAGTAGTTCTTTGGGCAGAGCGAAAGTTAGTCATGACATACTTGTCAAGCCGTATTAGCATGTTGTTGCTTTACCTATTTCCGCCGAGGGCTCAACTTGTCATTTCACTCCGAGTTCGAGCAAGGTAGTTCCCTCTCGTAGGCGGATCATCTTATGTGCTACAGCTCGGCACTTCTGCAGTTGTGGAAACGCATAACGATCCCCAAAGGTAAAGCCAGAATTAACAAGGCCTAGTGGTGCTCAAAACCTTTGTGCGTTTCCAATAAGTCCTATAATTGCGTATCGCTGCAACGCAGGAGTCGAAGCGACATATTCGAGAACATGTCATGAAAGAAGATGAAAACTCACCAACGACACTTGCTGACCCGGCTGGTACAAAGATGCAAGGATGACACAGAGGTCTGCAGAGGAGATAAAAGTGATATTAAACCTTCCTTTCGAAAACCCTTCCCCTTGATACCCTCGTGAAGCAACCAATTATGTACATTGCCAACGCCGATCCTCCTTACTCATCGCTTATTCCATAAACTCCTTGTCGTAATGCACAGACACCAATGCTCAAAGCTCTTTCGGGCTCGGAATCGCAACTCCCTCTCCTTCACCCTTGCCGCTGCTCAAAATAGCAAATCTTAGAATCACCTCTGAACAAGTGACCAAGATCGATATGACGATGAGCACGATGACGATCCATGTAATTTTTGTCATCTTTGTATCTGCAATAGCGTCTGAGAGAATTTCAGCGAGGTCCAAGAACACCTTGCAGCGTTCGTTGAGCACTTGAATGCGAGGCTTGATCTCGAGATACTCTCTGACGGCGGCATAAAGCGGTAATAATGTCGGTTCGCTGTCCCAGAAGAAGTTTGGTGTGTCTAGCATGTTGGAGCTGAGGTTGACATCGACACGGCCTTGGAAGAGCTTTCCGACAAGACTGACGACTTGACTACGGCTCATTCCAAGTTGGCCCTCCAGAGCGAGCTTACGAGGCACATACTGTGCTTCGGACATGGTGCGCTGCATGCGCTCTTCGAAATAGCTAAGTTTGGTCGACTGTGAGATGGCATGACTCATAGCCAATTTGATCATATGGTCGTTGGTACGTAACGTAATCATGTCGTTGAATATGCGAGGCTTGTCAATATCAACATTGTACTCAAAGTGGAAGTCTTCGGTCTCGAAGTCGGCTTCGCTGAGCGGTCGTGATACGAGACCCAAAGTGTTGGTCAAGGCTGGTGAAGAAGTGCTGCTGAGTTTGGTCGGGATATTTGAGGAGCTGCTGAAAGTCAAGTCGGCCAGGATGTCCTTCTCTTGATGTGCTGTGAAATTCCAGAAGACGGCGACACCATAGCTGAAGACGTAAAGTTCTGCGACAGACAAGGCATCGGCGATGGTGCTGTGGCCTGAACTTGACAAGTCGCTTGAGTGGCTGTGGCGGCGGAAGTTTGGTTCTTCGTGGTCCCTGGCATTACCATGGACTGTGTATTCATCACTCTCCTCCATCCAGCCTTCACGGTGGTCGCGGCGCTCGTTGGCCTCGATCTGTTCGTCCAGGATACTTCGACCACCAGGGTTCTTCAAGACAGGACTACTGCGAATGCGATAGCCATCGCTACCGCCCAGAAGAGGCAGTTGGTAGACGGCATACAAACAGTCGTCATACAGCTTGGTGCGAGCACCATGTTGCTCGCGTACAAAGTCGGCGGTGGCGCGAAGACGGTAGCTCTGAGCAGTGCAGTATGCTGTGACTCTGGCCAGTTTGTCGGCACGACTTGCTTTCGGTAGGCGTTCGGCATAACTCTTGTCGCCTATCCTGGGAGCTTTACGGCGGCGGATTTGCTCGTCGGATGGCGGAGCCTCGTCCTCATCCTCATCTTCCTCGGAGGGGGTTTTCTCGCTCGTCTCGGGGAGCAAGACAAGTTTTTCGCTGACTTTACTGCTTCGCGCTGGGATGTGAGGGCCGCCTACGGGGATGCTGAGAGAGCGGCCTGCTAGTTTCGGGTCCAGAGGGTGTCGGCCGCTAGGGGTGCGCGTATGTTGTGCGGGTCTAAGACCTCCTGGAGGACCACGTCTCTGGGCCGAGGGGATGTCGGAAGAGAATTGCAAGACATTGTCGACTGAGATGAGTTTCGTAGTGCCGGTGCGAGGGAGAGTGTTCGGCCGCTGAGGCTGCTGTTCGCGCGCATCCGTGACCTGGCAAGACATGGTTAGTTGGTGTTGGTCTCTGCGATTGCGCGTGTTGGATATGGACAAACCAGCACGGTCGGGCCTCGCTTCTTGACAGGTGCAGCCATTGTTTGCTTTGAGATTGTCTGTGGTTGTCGAGTCTACAGTATCGAACCTGCCAACAATAATCTCGTTTCGACTTTGCCAAGTGCTTGTCCTTCTTCGACAGAGTCGACTCCTTCCCCACACACGTCACCATGCATCTTGCTGTCGTATTTGCCCTTGCACTTGTCATCTTCGATTTGCATCGCTCATTCTCTTCTACAACACAAAAGACATGTGCCTCTGTTGTCTTTTGCTTGCAAGTTGTCTTGTCGCTCTACAGCAGGTCCCTCTCGATTCCATGCCATAAGTCTGGGGGCCTTCACGCATTGCAATGGCACGAATAGGACTGCGCCTTCAGGAGGAGGGTGTTCGAACTCGCCCCTGCCATTGGCTGCACCGGACACGGCTCAAAACCATGGCGAACCTGTCCTCAATCGGCTCTCACTGACGCTGCAAAACATCGACGCTTATCTACAGCCTGGCCACACTCAAGATTGACAAAAAGGAAGCTCTCCATCGGGGAATCGAACCCCGGTCTCCCGCGCTTGACGAGATTGCTCTTGACAAGCGGAAATCATGACCACTAGACCAATGAAGATGAGCCAGCTGTGCTGGTATTGGTTCATGGAGGAAAGCTCGGTCGGCAACCAACATGTTTTTGTCACGTTGATGCCACGCACCAAACGCAGCTGCGTCACTTCTATATCTCTGGCCTCAAACGCACTGTATGCCAACGCACAGAGATACAACCTCACGGTTGAGAATTGTGCTATTCAAAACTCCGTGTCGGTATACTGGGCTAATTTCGCAAAGGCGCTGAACCCAAATAGCGGAAGTCCTTCTTCAGTCTTCTTGTCATCAGGGGGGGTGACGTGGTTACACACATGGTTGAGACCCTCTCCAGTCATTTTGAGATTATCGTAGAATACCAGATGACTCAGTCGGTTCCGCCAGAGGGACCTGCCAATATTGCTAATGGGCTATCCTCAAACAATGTTACAATAATCAAAAGCAAATCAACTCCATCACGCCGATCAAAGTAGGCCCGTCTCCAAAATGATCGAAAATCAAGCACCGACTGTTACTCCGGATCATAACACATACCAGCTGTCCAACTCTGACTTACTGGAACGAATTCACGACCTTACCCTACAGCTCAGGGAGCGTGATGCCAAAATTGAAGAACTCAGCTCCAGTCTCAAATCACTCGACAAATCCAGACATTCTTACGTTTGTAGTTATCACGTCAAACCCAAGAGGAACAGACCAAATTCAACCAACACAACCGTGCTCATACCTTCCGAGGTCCAAGAGCCTCCAATCTACGAGGAGCCAATCAACCTGTTACTTCCACCCCATTTCAGCGAGACCTGGCTGTACGACATGAAATATCAAGACTAGCAGCGGTATGGGAGGTGGAGGAAAAGCCAATGAGGTACATGATTTGGAACGAAAATATCAAGGATGAGCGAATGGAATCCGACTCTGAGACCTGTCATGCGGGACGTCGTGGTAAGATCAGAGCCCAGATTTATCGCGCAGCAGGGTTTTGATCGCAGTTGAATAAGAAGAACGGGTTTTTATCGTAGATTCCTGGTCATTGCTACCGCTTCCACTCGTGAGCTGTTCGATTTACCTTCCAACGACAGACCAACTCTTCGCGTGAATGCATTCGATTTAATCTATCTACCCAAAGAGGATATATTAAGAAACTTCGAAATGAGCGGCTTGAAAGTATGCGAGTTCTAATTGTATCTCTATAGTCTATGATGTTCCCTAGTTTGTTCCGCTATAACTCCAAATGTGATGATTTTTTTGTACAAGAATGTGACATTGCATCAGTGACCTCGAGCAGTCAATCTAGCATGCCTGTAAGATCTACTGGTGGCTAGCCTTGATAACATCAGCAGCTCTCTCGGCAAGAGCATACAAAGTGCTGGTCAAGTGGCCAGACACCTGGAAGGGGAGCACAGAAGCATCGACAACGCGAACGTTGGCGGTTCCGTAGACCAAGTGGTTGTCGTCGACAACACCACCGAGTTCCTTGGACATCATAGCGGCAGTAGAGATGTAGTGGTAGTTGGAACGGTAGACCGACTTCAACCAGTCACCCCAGACGGCGTCGGAAGCGTTGGTAGGGACGGAGTCGAGGCCAGGAAGGGTCTCGGAGGTAAGGATGTTGCTCAAAGGAGCGGTAGTGGCGACCTTTCTGGCAGTTCTGGCAGTGCCAATCTGTTGCTTGATGTCATAGTCGAGCAGGAAGTAGTTGGGGTTGATGGAGGCAGGGGCGGAGGCGTTGGCAGACTTGATGTGAATGTTTCCACGAGAGAAAGGCATCAGACCCCAGTACTCGATCAAGCCAGCGCTGGCTGAGGGTGCGTTAACAATGATCTCAGAGATGACAACTTCATCCTCGAAGATGAGCTCGTGCTGGATGTTGAAAAGCTTCAGCAGAGTGTCGACGTCGGTAATACCGCCGGTTGCTTGTACAGTCTTGTTGGCGTATTGTTCGAGCGATGCCTTGATGGTCTTGCTGAATGATGCAGTGCTGTTGCCCCAGACGTCGGTAGCATTGAAGTATCCGATAAAGCCACCAGCGCCGGTGAATTTCTGAGTTGCATCGTAGTTGGTGTCAACGGTAGTCTGGTCCTGGAGGTTTTCGCCGACGAAGGGAGAGTGGACCTTGACTTCGATGCCGAGGTTTTCAAGCACGCTGAGGTATTGTTAGTTGCGACCGACCGATATTGATGGATTGTATCAACTTACGCAGGGTTACCGACACCCGAGAGTTCAAGCAGAAGAGGAGATCTCAAAGATCCGGCAGACAAAACGACTTCCTTGGTAGCAAGTAGGCTCTGCTCGGCACCAGACTTGTCGGTGAAGACAACACCATTGGCAAAAGCGACCGAAGAGTTGTCATTAGACCAAGTCAGACGTTGTGCGAAAGAGTTGAGGTAAACGTCAAGGTTGGGTCTTGTGGTGAAAGGGTAGTAATAAGCACGAGCGGCGTCCTCACGAAGATCCAATGATCTGTCGAATGTCTTGGGGAAGACGTTGTATCCGCGCATGGATCCGCTGTTCGCTTCTCCGTTCCAAGGCAGCTTCATGGCCTTGAATGTGGCATTGAGCATGCTTGAGAAGTTGTTGCCGACCATCTCAGTGGGCCAGCTGACAGCCAACGGGCCTTCGGTACCGTGGTATTCGGGCAAGTAGGATGCGCCCATCGAGACTTGGGCCTCGGTAGGGTATTCGAAGTATTCGCTCTTCTTGTAGTATGGCAGCAGGGAGTTCCACGTGATGTTGTTTCCGACCTTCTTCCAGCTGTCGATCTGGCTGCTCTCGGCACGCATGTAAGTCATGCCTATGTATCAAATCATGTTAGCCTGATTTGATGAAAACAGTAGAGAGACTTGCCATTGATGGTGCTGGTACCTCCCAGCGCCTTACCAGCTCTCAAGATCTGAGTCTTGTTGCCGGCATACACCTGAGCTTCGCTCTCGTATGCCCAATCGATTTCTGTACCAAAGGCCTTGCCATAGCCGGATGCGCTGGTAACGTTCGTGTTGTTGAAGACTTGATCGCCAGCCTCAATAACAGCAACAGAGACGGTCGGATCTTCGCTCAATCGATTGGCAATGACCAAACCGGAAGTGCCGCCACCCACAATAATGTAATCATAACGAGGCGTGGATTTGGGCAGAGTATTGGGGATAGCAAAAGCAGTCGAAACGAGCGCGAGGGTAGCGAGTCGACCCAACATGGTTTGATAAGCTCTGGGGAAAACTGAAGAAGAACAAACAGAAAGAAGTGGTTTGGAAGGAGTGATTGCCTGCCAGCCAGCAGGGGAGAGTCTACTTATGCTTTTGAGCTTTCAGGCAGGAAATAGCATTTACAGTGATTACCAGAACATATCGCACGATTGAATAAAACCTTCCTTGCCCTACCTTGATTTCTGTACGACATGTTAGAGAGCAGATGATAGGTTTGTCAGTTTGCAAGGTTAACCAAGATTTCGTGATGGCTTTTCGGGCCGTGCGGGACTGTCAATTCGGCCCGTCCCCTTGTAACAACCATTAACAACACTTATGCTCCTTTTCTGTGACGATCTTAATGTGTGTTTTTATCTGCTTACAGACTGTCTATATCCTTAACTCTAGTACAAATCTTAATGCTCGTTAGGCATATGCTCCGTTCGATCAATGTAGCTTCTTCACTTGCAGAGAAATCGTCTCATCCCTTGACCTGATTTCTCTGGCAGGTCCGCAGATGTGTCTCTGTTTGGTCATTGAGGCCTTGTCATTTATGTAACAACATACTCAAATTCTTCGATCCAGCGGCCGTTCCGAACTTCTGAAGAGAATGCTTGCGGCCATCCGCCTCGCAAGATTAAGCCCCTCCCCCTCCGCCTCATGTATTTTCCTATGCTTTCAAAAACTCCACGGTCTTGACGTGCCAACCTGACATACAGAAGATTCGGCGTTCTAGGCACATCCAGATCTCTTGCAACTCTTCTCATGACGGTACTAACTCTTCCATGGTAGTCCTCCCAACAACTGCTCACCACTTGATTATCTCTTATGAGAAAAGCGTAGAAGCTTAAGAATGCATGTCTACCGGTAGGTACCAACAAAGGTATTGGGACTCTGAAACGGCCGGAAGACTCGGTCAGAGCGTTCACAAAGGCCTCATCTGCCTCGCGGAAGAACGCGTCAAGGTGTCCATAATCGGCGCAGGCCCGTTGGAGGAGTTCAAGGGTTGGCAGAGAGACGCCATTGTCTTCTGATGGTCCTAATAATGGAATATGATGGAAAGCTTGCCGTCTGAGCAACTCAAGTAGTTCATTTCGCCCTGTGACCCCACGTCCGAACCATGCGGACTCTGAGGGAGCTCTTCTGTGAATCGGATGATCAGACTGGTCGTTCGACTCCACAACTTCCTCATGATTGTGGGGGTGATGGTCCTGTTCCACGTTCACGCCGACCAGAATCTCGCTCACGTATTGTTGAACGGCCGGAATATCTTCAGGAGGAACGGTGTCTTGTGTGACACTTAAATCTGAGCCCCCACGGCCTGCAGGTTGCTGGCCATCGATATGTTGCTGGTTGTCCGATGGCATAACGGCTGGTACGGCGGTGACTGTCGACTCTTGAATATATCGCAGATAACGTTGATGTGAAGGTTATTCTGGTAAGATGTGTACTTTTGTAGTAGCGACAGTTATAGTCATCCAGATCCTTTTAGCTCTATTGCAGAGACTGTCACAAAACTGCGATATCAGTAGCCGGCTGGCAGCGATCCGAAAAGTGCTCGAATACACGCATAGCACATGGAAGAATGGACGATGAATCCTTGCGGTCGATTTTCCAGAGAAAGAGCATGAGTCAACTTACAAATGTCGAGCTTACGCCGATACATAAGTAGATGGCAAGTCAAGAGAAAGAGTGTTTTTACTCGGTGAGTATGCCAGATTGAGTCTCGGCGTATGAATCGAACAGTCAGCTTTCACACTCTTGGTCACCATATTGAACCACGAGGGACATGAATTTGGCGGGGTGTTGCTTTTACGAGAGCCCTTGAGTCGCGTACTCGTCCATGACACGAAGGGGTGTAGAGTAGAAGAACTCTTTCAGTTGTTGAGTGTTGGAGTGCAGGATGGCAAAACAAAAAGTCAAGGAACATCAAAAGTCGAAATCGACAAGCGTCACATCGACCACAGGTTGTCAACATGCCAGATATCAGCAAAAAAACAATGATCACGCCAGGGGTCGAACCTGGAATCTCTTGATTCGTAGTCAAGCGCCTTGCCATTGGGCCACGCAACCTATTATATGATAGATGTTCAAGCTGGACCGACCAGAATTCTTTGTCCAGCAAAGTCGTGCGTGCCGCCATGCATTGAGAGTCCGAGATCGCATACCGTATACGAATACAGAGCTCCAAGAGACACTAGGGCGATGGCCTGAAGTGCCTAGCTCAGGCAGAGAGGCTGAGGGAAACGAAAGACAAAGTTCGCTGGGGATAGCAACAGTTTGAGAAGGATTGCGGCTTCGACGTTGAATGCGCCTTGCGATGAATGACCGCATGTGTGCGCTCCACGTGAGTAATGATGTCGCTTTGTTCGAGCTTGTCGAGATCTAGAGGCGTGAGTGGCGGGGATAAAGGAGGGGTGCAGATTGGGTTGTAAAGCCGCGGAAGGATGCCGCCAAGCATTTGTTGGAAGGACCCTGCCAACTCGATCGCATCGCCCCTTGCTGCTTCACTAGTGATGTCAAGACAAGACAAGGCGCAGCTTGTGCGAAGGAATCAGAAGGATCGAAGGCTTGGACAGGAAGAAACAAGCACAATATTCCTTTCGTTTGCGCCTCAATGACCTAATTTGAATTTAAGCGGCAACGGATATTTCGGGGTCGAAGGCTTGGAAGCGTTGGTTCTGGATTGGATATAATGGCGTCGTTGTGCCGTCTATGACCGCTTCCTGTTTTGCTTACTGTTACATCTGTACCAATTGTCGCAATCCTGTTCAGCCATCGGGCATTCATACAACTTGCATACCTACACACTACATAAGCACGACCTACTTTCGACTCAATTTCACTGAACTCGAAACTTTCTACTTTTCACCTCAACACAAACACACCGTCGACATGAAATTCTCCCATATTATCATCTCGGCCCTCAGCGTCGGCAGCGCAGTCAACGCAGCTGCCATTCCCGAAGAAGCAGCAAACTCGCTCTCCGTCCGCTCAAGCTATGACATCGCTACATCGCCCGAATCCAGCAACACGCTCGAGAAGCGCAAAGGAGGTGGTGGTGGTGGAAGAGGCGGTGGCGGCAGCTCTTCAGGTTCGTCCTCTGGTGGTCGCGGCTCAAGTTCCGGCAGCTCAGGTTCTTCATCAGGCAGCTCCGGCTCATCAGGCTCTTCCGGCTCGTCAGGTTCCTCAGGCAGTCGAGGCTCTGGAAGTTCGTCAGGCAGCTCAGGTGTGAGACCATCATACGGCAGCGGCGGCAACTACTATGCTGGTGGTGCTTCCACTCCCTACAGAGCTGGAGGCCGTTCGCCAGGCGGTGTCGCTCCTTACGTTCTTGGAGGTGCCGCCCTTGGTATCGGCGCCTACGCATTGTACGGTGCTGGCGCCTACGCATACCCTTACGCCCACCCTTACTACTTCCACAACCGCACCGAGGCTGCCCAGAACCAGTCATACACCAACTCTACCAACACAACCCTTCCCGTCCAGTGTGTCTGCGCTCAAAACTCAGAGTGCAGTTGCGAGGACCAGCAAGACGATTCATACCTCGCCTCCATCATTGGCAATGGCTCAAACTCCGACATCAACTCGACTGTTGCTCGCATCGCCAATGTCAACGGCACCGACACTCTCATCATCAACGGTACTGTTCCTGAAGGTACCGGCTCCACAAGTGCCGCAGCTGCCATGAGAGTGCCCGAGTCGGCTGGTATGTGGTTGATTGCTGCTGGTGTTGGCGCCTTTGTCTACGCCATGTAAGCATGGATACATGTTCCTCACGAGATATGGCATGGCTGGCGTTTTGTTTCTTTCCCACATGATACCACTATTAGGATAGCATGATTGATGCTTTTGTACGAATACGAACACGAATAGGTACCTCACAATAACAATACCTTTGAACTATCCAGAAAGTGATTGTGAGCATGACATGTAGTCCTACAGTGAATCGATTTACGAGACGAATCGATTCTTTCTCACTTAGGCATTTACAGCTATGCTACGATGATTGAAACGCTCACTGGGCCGCATACCATGCCTGTGACGTTTACACCTTGCGCCCCTTCGCGTATTATACTGGTTGACTCGATGATCATAGTACTCAAGACTGGACAAGAGCGAACAATCGCCGCTCTCGAACATGATTCGTATGTTGTTGACTGACTGATATTGATGCAGGTTCTGTGAACATGGCACACGCTAGGCTGAGGAAGAAGCATTGCTTCAAGATTTCTTGAGATTGCGTCAGTTCGCTGTTTGCACTCAACATGCAAGCAGATGTTCGCATGCCCTGCGCTGCTGGGGATATTCTCATCGGAAAGGCAGTGCTGCGAGATGGTCTCGGAAAATATTTGACAAGCAGTCACAGTCAGGACAGACGCATGAGGGTCTCGAGACACAAGCGTCGCAGTCTTTCGAGCTCCTCCGCAACCATCTTTACAATGCGACAGCAGTACTCCTGTTACTTCCAGAGCAATGGGATGAACTGCACAACGGATGACTGCACGAGCATCGTAAGGACTCGTCCCATACCTTTAAACCAACGACCTTAGATTTGCTCACGACTGACACGCATCTGCAGAATTGTGACATTTATGCATCCTTTGTGCAACACTGTGCACACAACTCTCGCAAAATCGAAGCTCGAGCTTGAGAAAAGCAGTCTCTTCTTCAACCACCAGCATCAAGCTGATCAATCAATGAAAAGAGATATTTGATATCGATACCGAAGTATCGATGAGAAGTCCATCAAATAATTGCACTTGTTGAGCCCCCGTAGGAGATCAATAGAAGAGCTTCTGCGCGCTGTGCAATGCACGAAGTTCCTCTAGACACCCGGCCTTCATGATCGCCAATGTCCAAGCAAGGTAAGTATGAAGGAAGTTAAGCCAGAGACCGAGATGGAGGTGGATTATATACTCTTTGTCTGGAAGTAGATTACTCAGCAGGGAAGACCGCTGGTGCCTGGAGGAGGCAGGTGCACTGACAGGAATGATGGAGGCCAAGCTTGCTGTCGCAGCTTCCTCGAGAGCTGACCATCTGCACTTGAATCTGTTTCTGCATGACAGACCCTCTGCAATACTCACATGTTGCTCTATCTGCTCGACTGAGTTGCAGAGACAGTTCGTTCCACCTGCTCGACGGATCGACGGAGCCTGCAATCCTGCATTTTGGCAGCGACGTCGATGAGCTTCCACCAAATGTCGAGGCGCTGTCGTTCACGAAGCTGATTGCCGAGTCTATCACTCGGCGGATGTATTGGTCTGTCTACGATGGCGCCGAACTGACCACGAAAGCAGTATCGCCCTCCTCGACTGACCTCGCTCTACTGGCGATAGCGCCAATTCAATGACGACCAGCTCTTCGATCGTCACATCTCGAGCCTCGATAAACATGACTGGACCCCACCCTACGCCACACGGTTCATTAGCGGAGCCATACCTCCATGCTGCCTCGTTGCCCCTCCATCCGTATTTCGCGCCGAGCACGATCAAGAGTACAGTCACACCGCTCCTTTGCAACCATCCATGGTAGTAAGATTTACAAGAGTCATCATAAGGCGCAGGATGCTAGTGCAGCATATACTTGACACTTTGAAGCTTGAGAAACAATACATGCCGTTTCCTGGACACGGAGATATTCGATTTGGGCAGTGGAGACAGAGCGCTGCCCGAGAAAGGCCATATGCCATTTGTGTGCCAGACTTGTGAAAACCCCCTTAGTAGATGCACTCGAACAATGTCAACGGACACCGAATACCGGTAGACAGTGTAGGACCAATTTCTCATGATCATGGTAGAGATGGCTGTTCTTGCTTGTCCGTTTTGCCCATGTCGCAAGGTCAGGGTGTTACCCTCGACCATTACTTTCCGACATCTTTAGGCTTCCGAGCGCCCACGCGTGGAACTCGATCCTCAATCAATAGTACAGGAGTGTCTTTGATACTTGTTGCAGCGTCTGTGGTTTTGTTGATACGTCTACGGATACGCTGGGCGAGATATAGCGATAAACCGATTTCTAAATCTCGACTTCCAAAGTACTTCACTGTGACCATTGTTCGTTGTCCAACATCTCTGACCTGAACACATTTTACCACTAGAGAAATATTCTACGAAGGTAGAAGGTAGATCTACAGTTCGCATCGCTAGTAGTCTGCCCGCAAGAAGCCTTGAGATGGCACAGAGTGTGGAAGGAATGTGTAGTCTGTTGCTGAGCCCGTTGATGACATGTGTTGCTGACAACGCTTGGAGCTTGAGGACGTTGCAAACACATCACGCTTGGACCTTCCAGTCTTGCAAGACGCGGATCCTACGCCTGGAGAGGCTTGTCCTGAACAAGCAACTCGATGTCAAGACCAGTCTCGATGAGGGCGCCTCTCATCAGTAACCATGAGTAAAGCCGTCAAGCGACACTCGTATCGCGCATAGTCACGCGGTTGAGGTGGGTACATGGACATTCGAGACTTTGAGACGAAGCTGGGAGGCGTCTGGATAAAATCCATCTCGTCTTCCGCGTCTGTGACCTCAACAGTCCTGCAGAACTTTGCAAGTGACCGACATATCTCACTATGACATCCCTATCCAAGGACAGCAGTATTCTCATCATAGGTGGTGGCACCTGGGGATGCTCTAGTGCTCTTCACCTTGCTCGTCGCGGATACAAGAATGTGACCGTACTGGAGGCCCATCCCATCCCTTCGCCCATTTCAGCAGGCAACGATGTCAACAAAATCATGGAAGAGGGCGAGCCTTCAGAGAATGACACCGAGGAACAATATGTTTGGAACCGTATGCATCAAATCACGACAAAATACTGGAAGGAGGATCATGTCTTCAAGTCGTTCTACCACCCTACAGGTATCATCTTCAGTGCCATATCAGATGATGTCTATGAGCATGTGAAAGGGTATACCAAGGGGACAGAGAGCGAGTGGATCTCTCTGGACTCACCCGAAGACTTCAAGAAGACCATGCCTGAGGGTGTATTGCAGGGTGACTTTCCAGGCTGGAGAGGGTTCTGGAAAGACCATGGTGCCGGTTGGGTGTTTGCTCGCGGTGCAATGATGTCCGCGTACGAGGAGGCCTCGAAGCTGGGCGTCAAATTCGTGACCGGCGACTCAGCAGGAAAGGTGACATCGCTCCTCTACTCAGAGTCAAAGGACACAGTATTGGGCGCAAAAACAGCAGATGGCACTTCCCACCACGCCGACCAAATCATTCTCTGTGCAGGAGCAAACGGTGACCTCCTTTTCGACTTCGAGCAGCAACTCCGACCTACCGCATGGACGTTGGCTCACATTCCTCTCTCTGTTGAGGAGGCGGCAATCTTCAAGGACTTGCCAGTATTGTACAACCCTGAGCGTGGGTTCTTCGTCGAACCAGACGCTGAAAAACGTGAGCTCAAATTCTGCGACGAGCATCCTGGTTACATCAATATGGTGAAGAACGCGACTCCCGGATATAGCGAGGGAACCACACACTCGCAACCGTTCGCTCGCCATCAGATCCCAGTTGAAAGCGAGACACGCATGCGAAAGTTTTTGCAAGAGGCAATGCCTCAGATCGCAAATCGCGACTTTAGTTTCGCACGAATCTGCTGGGACGCCGATACTGTGGACAGACAGTTCTTGATCGACAGACCGGAAGGCAAGAATGGATTGGTGGTTGCGGCTGGAGGATCGGGAATGGGGTTCATGATGATGCCTGTGGTTGGACAATTGATCGTCGACCGAATGGAAGATGTGATGGAGGAGAAGTTGCAGAAGGGATTGCGATGGCGTCCTGAGCAGGCTGTTGGAAGAGATTGGCAAGCTAGTAAGTGCCTCTTCCGAAGAAGTGTTGATTGACGGCGATGAATGCTGACAATGCTTCAACAGTCCAAGATAGACATGGTGGTGAAGGTAAGATCATGGATTTTCATGATGTCAAGGGATGGACCAGTGGCAAGGGAGATAAAGAGCCCAACATTGACGAGACTGCAAAGGACTCGAAGGTGTGTAGTGCCATGTGAGCCGCGACTGCCATCGAGCAAGTCGAGTCAAGTGTCTCAACCTTGCTCCTCGACATGTCCATCACACACAGAAATGGAAGTTGCAAATCTAGCAACTTCCCACATCTAGAAACTGCTAAACCAATCATCAAGTCTTCGGAGCTCTCAGACTCATATTGAAGCTCCACATGTAACATGTCGTCGTATTGTGACCAAGCCACAACCACCTCGTCGTGTAGATATACCACCGATCACGTATATACCCACCCTCGTCATCACCATCACAACAAATCGACCAAGCAGAAAAAACCCATACATCCCGTCATTATATCTTGATTACTACACAAAACCATCTGCCGACAGTCAGACATGTGAATTTTTTTGAAACAGTGGTTGCAAAGTCAAATGGTCAAGACCAAAGAAACGTCCATGTGATTTTTAGACTTTTGCGGGAAACAGGGTCGCAAAACGGGAAGTGAATTTTTGAATTTGAATTTAAAAATCTTTATTTTTATGCGTAAAAACGATCATTTGAAACCTTGAAGACGCACGGTTCGGGAAAGAAACATGACTTTCTAGCCTTTTCCCATGATCGAAGGGAGATAAATTGAAAGACCACAAAAGTTTGTTCGACGGGAGAGAGGGAGACGGAATGATGTAAATTTATGGGTTTGAGAGTCGAGGTCGTGTTTGTTGGTGGTGCGAGCGGGTCTTGGATCTGGGGCGGCGAGAACGTATCGGTAGTTGCTAATCTGCACAGAGCGACGATAGTGACGATGAGCAGTCGAGTTGACCAGGAGCAGAGACTTGGGAGGCACAACTGCGGAAGGGGTTTGAAGGCATGTATACATTTGGTCCAGGTGAATCAGTAGGATATGCTCCTGTCTATTTGGGCTTCGACGTTGCCAGTAATTATATATAATGACGAGAAAGAAAAATTGGGTATAAGGGTTAGTATGAAGTAGAATGTGAAAACAAAGGAAATGTATGTGCTCATGAATCTCCCAAAAATCCTGTCGTTATGCCGCCATGTTTCCAATCCTTTTTGTAGATGCTTCGTTCATATCTTTTTATGGGCTCTGTCCAGAAGTAGAGGTGGTTGCGAAACTCGTCTCTTGCAAGACACTTCTCGTCATTTTGATGCCGGGATAGTCTGACAGAATGTGCTCCTCCGAGTCAGAGTCGCGGATGCTGGTCTCCTTGACGGTGCCTCCCTTTACAACGACATCTCTGTCCATAGGGCGCACACCCTCGGGAAGCTCGTATCCTGCCTCACAGTTGAGGTAGTTGCGGCGACTCTTTGAACGAGTGCCGTTCATCTTGGAAGAAGCATCGGGTGCTGAGCTTCCGAGCTGGAAGACGCGGCGGAACAGAGGACGCAAGGTACTCAAACAGCCGACAATCATACCAATGCCATTTTCAGCATAACCCCAGATGACGATGTCACCAATTCCGTGGATGTAGTCATTGGCACTGTTGAGTCTGACGGTATACTTGAGACGAATGCAGGCCGAAAGACTGGCCAGAACGCCCAGACTCAACAAGAACACGACGGACACCTTTGCGTTGCGGTTGAGCTGAATGGACCAAAGTAGCGGTACGGGCCTGTAGATGCAAATTAGCCGCCGAAGAGGAGATGTATCAAATGTGTGGCAACATACAACAGGGCGCAGAACCAGTCAGTAAAGATGTTGACAGCTGTGTCGGCATAATAGATATTTGTAAGGGTTGTCGCAGAGTTGCAGTGTCCACCAGGAGTCGTCGTGTCCCATGCCCAGGAGATGGGGTTGCAGTGGAAGATGATGACGAACAAGGATATAATGTTCATGATGATGAACATGGCCGAGGTGATCCAAAGTGAGATGACATAGTTCCTTTTGCTGGTCGCGATACGCATCTCCATCAGCGAGATACTAAGCTTAATGGGTACAATTGCGATGCAATAAAAGACCTCGAAGAAGAAGAACCACTACCAGCGATCAGCGTATGTCAGGCATAACGACTTTGATAAGCAGGGACTTACGTGAAGGCCAACAGAAGTCTTTTCAGGACCTAGCTCAGCTTCATGACCACCAACACCATTGAAGGCACCACCGAGACATGCGATAGTGAGTGCGGTGAATGGGACGGCCGCGAACAGCATCGACCAATCGTCAGCACCCCATGCTCTGGTCTTTACTCTGATGTAGATACGCAATGCTAGTAGTGGATATGCCAGAACGGACAAAACGATCACTGTTGCAGCCAAACGGGGTCCAGTATCTTGTGCCATCGCGATGATTCAAGATGATGTTTAGACCTCAGGTCCACACGAGGGTTGTACGTGGCGATGACAACAGCAAAGTCGTAGGGTACAGGATAGACCTTCTTCCAGAATGCGACGTGAGACGCCTGTAGATGGATCGGGCGAGTTGAAACAGTGATGTGTTGGAGGTGAACAATATGTATGCAAAAGTGACTCGCAGGTACTCAGCAAGTGTGTGGAGATCAGGGGACCTCGAAAACTTAAAGAAGGTTAGACTTGAGGCACATCTGCGGTTCAGAAACCGTTGCGCCTTGCCGGCCGCCGGGGTTGCCTAGACTCGAGTGGTCTGTGACTTTGTTTTTGCGAAGGATCAAAACGGTCGTGTCACTCCAGCTGATGGCGTTGCAGGCGTGGATGAAAAAGGACTAGATACCAAGCTGCTTAGCTGTCGTCTTGGTTAAGAACGAATCGTACACCGCGGAGACGATTATGGATGAGATGATGAGTTGACCCAGATCTTCGACGTGCGAGAGAACAAAAGACCGTGGTTGCAACACTGGATGAAGAGGTGGAGTCACGCCTGAATTTGTCAATTCGTGAGGTCCATAGACCCAACCCGCGGATTCAAGAGCCGAGTGCCGAACGGATCCCATCAACAGTGGTGAACGACAATCCCAATTCTTTTCGGGGAGGATGTTCCTGTTTCAGTGTGGTGTGGGCTGCGGATCAAAGCGCGATGCACAGAGTGACCCTTGACCCCCTGCATTCCGGCTTTCTCGCACGAGCAGGGACCGCTATATGAGGGTAGTTGATATAATAAATTGAGCTTTGCTTGCCTTGACGAGGATCAATGTCGCAACAGCCGAGTACTGACCTGTGTCTTAGATGACTCCGCGATGCTGGTTGCGTGTTTCGCTCTGCTGTTTTCCTTCGCAGCGAAGACGGTCTTTGCCTCTAGATCGGCTTCGATAAAGAGATACGCGTGTCGAGTCAGGAGAAGACGTCCAGAATCGTGGTGTGCAAGAGAACGAGCCATCCGCAGTTCCAAAAGTTAGCGTGCCGTGACGTGCGGCACAGAGACCCCGACTCGCCGGCTTGTGGGTCACATCCCGTCCAAACGACTGGGTCCGCTGCTCATCGGAAGCTATTGAAGTGTCCCGGCTGAAGTGTGATTGGTTGTTTCGAGCACTGACTCGTGAAGCTTCTTCGAGCATTTTGTACCTTTTTTGTTCTTTCTTCTCGACTTTGGTTTGTCCTTTCCCATCAATCTTCAACAAATCTCAAGAGACAGCCATTCGGTGCATTGCTCCATTCAACGGATGCTCACTCCGTCAATGGCTTGCAGCTTCTTATTCTCCAGTGATCCACCGTCGACACGATAGGCGTTCTGACATGTTTGTACTAATCGTTATCGATCTTGACCTTTGAACCATCAAGACCGTGGAATCTAACACTCAAATTACATTCACCACATTGTGCGTGATGTACGTAGTCATCCGAACGAGTGAAAGACTCGAGAGGAGGAAAATACAGCGCCTAGAACTCAAGCCTCATCATGACCCTGACTCTGATTCTCCACTGATGGATTTCAGAATCGACCATTCGCCGTTCTCGCCCGTCACTCAAATTGTGGCTTTCTCAAACAGGTTGTTATTCACGTGTGGCGCCAATGGAGGTTGAAACGACAGTAGGGAGGTTCTGAGACCATCCACAGTCGCTTCCGCACTCGATCCGCAGTCTCTATACGGCCCTCGGCGACTGACGGAAGGCTCGATCGGCTCAGAAGTGTTAAGCCATTTACACTAAGTGTACATGGCGAGGAACTCATCGAATTAGAAGGTAGGGCGCCAAGTTGCTAAGCGAGGAAGGCTATCGGGACGACATCTAAGGGGGGCCTCGATGCTACTATTCCTATAGACCGGTTAGCTTTCTCTTATATATAGCAATAATCGACATGTCTTATCCTTGTAGTAGCGCTCTTATTACTCTAAATGGCCGTAACGACAATAGGCCTATCTTATCGAGTATTCCCCCCTCTACTTAACTACTACCCTAACCCTCGCCGATACTAGCCTCGTAAGCACCCTCGGAAGCACCCTCGTAGAGTACGACAACTACTAGGGGGATATATAGGAATCGACTGTCCGAGGAGGATAAGACTACCCTTACCCGGCTCGCATTAAGTTACTTCGAGTCGTTATATAGTAATAGGAAGATTACTAAATTTTGGAATATAATTACTAACATGCTCGAGGAAGAGAGGGGAGCTCTATATACCTATTAGAGTTGTTAGCGATTAATGGAGCGGTAGACTAAGGTCTATAGGAAGGAACTCGCTACCTATTAAAGTAGTAAAGAACTAACCGACTTACCTCGAGACCGCGCGGTAGATAACTAGATTAAATGTCTTAATAACTTTACCGCTATAAAGGATGCTACTAGTACTGCTATTGCTACTGCTACTCGTACCCTTAAGTAGTCTTAAAGTAATAGAGCTAATATAGGTAAACAAATAAGGAAGAAGAAAAAGACTAAGGCGATACCGCTACCCTCTACGCGTACTCGAGAAGTACTCTTCTTAGACCTATTATTAGCTAGTAAGATAACGGAGGCTACTTAGTTAGAGGTTAGCAACTTAGCACGGCAAGCGCCGTAGCGCTTAAGGAGACCTCGACCGGAGGATAATGCTAAGATATAGGCGTAGATAGTGTTGTTATTAAAGGGAATAAATGATGACTAAGAGGAGAAGAGAATAGAGAGACGAATTACGCGCTCGTAAATAAGCCGGTCTCGTAGTGTTCGGTCGTCTACGCTATTAGAAGGTGTTAATAAGAGGTTAAGTTATGTTAAGTAAGGTTAGTAAGAGATATAGAGCTTACTGTCGCAAGTTCTATTACTTATATTAAAGAGCTTACCTACGCTAATGTTAGTAGGTCTCTCGTTAGATGCTACTAGTATAGAGGTTCCTTCGAGCACTATAATAACATTGCTAATACTAGCATCTCGTAACTTAAATGGTGCGCGCATTATAGATGCCTTAGTTAAGGAGGAGGAGGACTTTAATCTACCGAGGGCGAGAGAAATAGGACCGTACGCGCCTAAACTACTAACTATGCCGTATACTATTACTAACTTGTCGTTTAAGGACTAGGAGAAGCATAATAGAGAGAGGGGGTAGCCTAATAGTTAGAGCTAATAGTAGGAGGACTTAGTAAGAGCCTTAACGTATTTTGACGTATAGGACTGCTATTAGTATTGTTATAAGAGAATTAGCAAAGGAGTAAGTTTTAAGGTAGCGTTAGTCGAGTAGATTAATTAAGGAGATATGCGGCTTCTAAGCGGTGCTATTTAATGGCCTACCGCACTACTACTACCTCATCTTTTAGCTTTATTTCCTTAATATCTCCTTAACTTGTTATAATAGAGCGTAGATTTAATTTTTAAACAAAACGAACAAGAATTGACTTAGTAGTGTTGCTACAAAATAACTTAAAGATATGTCTATATTCTAAAACAGCGCTAAGACCCTAGTTCTACACCAAAATTGCCCGGATTTTATATAACTTTAACTAATTAGAGTGCAACTTGCCCGTAGCTTAGCTAGCTCGACTAGACCTCCTATTAGGACTAGTTAGGGTAGTATAGTATAGGGTCTTAGCATTACCCTATACCGCCCCAAATGTTTAGGGAATTGCTAAGACCCTATACCATTAATTAGGGTAGGGTCTTAGCAATTCCCTAGAAGTCCTAAATAGTGTATAGTATGTATACATAGTTTTTTCTAGTCGAACAGGTAGAATAATAGCTCAGATAGCGCAAATAGAATAGTAGAAAGTAAAGTGTTCGAACAGGAGAGGTAAAGTTCTGTCTTAGCGTTGCTAGAGCTTAGGCCAAACTCTAAATCTCCGCACAGCGTCATTACTGTTAATTTTAATGCGCGCGCGCTTCTAGAATAAACACAAATTACTACTACTACAATTTTTGGTACTACTATACTAGNATATGTAAAGCGATACTATAGCTATATAGAACATAACTTTAGTATACTAACGATGTATAGTAGGTTATTAAGGGTCGTAAGGTCCCCGCTGCTAACGCTAATAAGAAGCGTTACCGCTTTAAGCCCGGTAGTAAGTAATATATAGTAGTAGCGTAGTAGTAGTGTAGTAGTAGCTAAATTGCATAGCCGTCGCTCTCCGCGAGATCCGCGCCTACTAGAAGACGACCGATCTCCTTATCCCTAAGGCCGCCTTCTAGAGACTCGTTTGCAAGGTCGCCTAGGTCTATAATAAGGACATTCGCTTCTAGGCAAGCGCTCTCCTCGCCGTCTAAGAGGCTACTAAGGCCTATATCATTAAGATTATAGGTCTTACTAACCTTGCTGCTATCTANNGNAAGCGTAAGTCGTAGTAGTAGCGTAGTAGTAGCGTAGTAGTAGCTAATACATCTTAGGTGTTACTATCTAGTAGAGGGACATGTAGTTTATTAGTACCTACATCTTTAACTAGACTAACGAGAAGATTAGCTCTATGTAGTAGTAGGCCGTATAGGGCGTTTATAGTATTAATTAGATACTACCATTAGCAAGCTTGTTTTTAAATCCCTCTACTAATGTAAAGTCCTTTAACGTAACTATAACCCGCTTTACATGTATTGCTCCTATGTTTGCTATCTTAAAGTGTCGAGTTAGATAAGCCTCGGCCATTTCTTATAGAGCTTCGAATGCCTCTTTCTAGAACCGGTAATCATAGTTTAATACCTTAGAGCCAATCTCCTTAACTAATCGACGGAACGGCTATCTTAGAATAACAAGGTTAAATGAGTTTATAACCGTAAGGTAGTAGATCTTATTATAGACACTATTGGCAACCTATAACTAGGTTTTAGTCTGTTTTCGCGAACGGCTACTACGAGACGCTATAGTTGTTAGTATATAGTTATTAGGAAAGACTAGATAAACGTACTACTAGTAGCAGGAACTTTCGTTAGCTTCCAGATAACTTTATAGGATGTAACTAAACATTGTA